AATCTACCATCGGCCAGGCTGTTCATTAGAGAGCAGAATCTACCATCGACCAGGCTGTTCATTAGAGAGCAGAATCTACCATCAGTCAGGCTGTTCATTAGAGAACAGAATCTACCATCAGTCAGGCTGTTCATTAGAGAGCAGAATCTACCATCGGCCAGGCTGTTCATTAGAGAGCAGAATCTACCATCGGCCAGGCTGTTCATTAGAGAGCAGAATCTACCATCGGCCAGGCTGTTCATTAGAGAGCAGAATCTACCATCAGCCAGGCTGTTCATTAGAGAGCAGAAGAAGTGAGACTCCATCTAATCTCAGAATAATCCCTGCAGGTCCACGCTGCTGCGGAGGGAATATGCTGACTGTGCAATATATGTGAATATAATAGTCATACCACTACCTCACCTTTGCTCCTCACCTACTACACTTTATTGTAAAAATAAATCCACCTGTATATAAGCCATCCTGATTGTACATATGTCACCTCAAATCTCTGTCCTACTCCCCTGTATTTCTTTTTTTCTCATTTTTATTTTGTTTTTTATTGTGTGTGTGATACATGTACACTTGCACCTTAACCCTATTTATCTTGATATACTGTATATCTTGATATACTGTATATATATTGTTTATTCTGAATGTACCTTTTTCCTCCTTGTTTGCACCTTCTTTAATTACTATGCCAATATGTGACCAGTGAATTTCTCCGCTGTGAGATTAGTAAAGCTCATCTAATCTAATCAAATCTAAAAAGATTCTGAATAATCTGCCTGGTGACAGCTGGGCCGACAGTGAGGTTACTGCCGCTACGTCACAGCTGAGATGGAAATCAACGGGAAATCCAGCAGATTTATTTCATCTATTTTGTTTCGCATAATGTGATGTTATTTAGGATGCATGTAAATAACAATGAGCTAAATGTGAGCCGTTTAAAACCGGAAAGATCCTCACAAATGTTCCCCTGGATTAAGACAGCTTCAGTGGAAAATGTGTCTCGATGTGTTTTCCCGAACCGAGTGACTGAGCAGGCCTGCAACTGACACCGCAAAGCTGCAGAAATAGAGTCTAACGAAAACTAACAAATAATAATAATAATAATAGCAGTAGTAGTAATAATAATAATAGTAACAATAATAGCATTAATAGTAAAAATAATTATAAAAAAAGCACTAGTAGTAGCCTAGTAATAAAAATAATAAAATAATTATGATAACAATAACAGTAATAGCAGTAGTAGTAATAATAATAATAATAATGATGATGATGATACAGACAGGATTTTTCATTTGAGATAGGATTATGTTACATTTGGCAATTCTGCGCATTTTTTAATTATTTTCTCTTCTCTATCTCTGATCGTGTCTGTTATTTATTTTAAGAAAGAAAAATGTAAATCACTACACCGCATCAACTACTATTAAATATCGTAAAATGGAGTTAAAATCTATTTAACTTTTGTTTAAAATAAAGCGACCATTTTGAACATCAGACCCCGTTGTGAATATTTGCCTAATTTCAAATAGAATGAAGCAGCTTATTTTATAATCAAATTTATAAAATGTTTTTATTTATTATTATTATATATATATATATATATATATATATATATATATATATATATATATATATATATATATATATATATATATATATATATATATATATATATATATATATATATATATATATATATATATAGATATATAGATATATAGGCTAAATGAGGGAAGCTCGGTGAATGTGAAGGAACGTCCATCTGCGGCCTCGGGCTTTAGGCTGATTCTCTGTGCAGGAGAATGCTTTATTTATTATTTCGTAGCCTATTATCTGTTTCTCTGAAGAAGAACAATTATTCTTTCTGCTTTGAAGTCAAACGTTTAACCAACATCAGATTTTTTCTTTTCCATTTTACCTCCCCTAAGTTTTTATTATTATTATTTCAGAAATAATCAGAAAGCCAAAGACATGGAAAAGACTGAATCGTATCTTAATGTAATACAGAAATAAATCACTTTTCAGTCACCCGCTATTATTTTAGACCTTTGTTCATAAAAGCGCTGTATTCCTCAGAGAGAGAGGGAGGGAGGGATGGGTCCAGTCCAGGATGTGTTTACATCTCTAACCCTGGAACCAGATTAAACCCACACCTAAAGGCTATCTGCCCAGGACAATTATTCCATCGTGTCAAAGAATAAGCCTGTTGTTTTTGTAACAGGGTCAATAACCGCAATGTATTTCATAATGGAAGAAAAATTAAAAGAATTTAACTTCCATAAATGTAGAGATTAAAAGCCTCTTAATCGTTTTCCTTTTTTTCTAGCCTATAAGTCTAGGGACTGATAAACACAACATAATGGAAACATAAAAAATAAAAAAAAACATCCATTAATCCAAACTGTGTGTCCTTATATGAACTCCCCCTTAAGCCCAACCAACTGCCTTATTTATCCAACTATTAACATATCAAGGTAGATAATAATAATAATCGGTCCCATAATTGTAAATAAACAGCAGAACAGCTGATAACCAACATGTTTGATGATAGATTGTGTTTTACAGTGAGACGTGAGGAGGACGTGGCATCGTTCTAACCAAACTCCAGCCTCCTGCATATTCCTGCAGCCTCTGGGAGGGAGAAACGCGCCCTGGCTTCCATTACGCTCCACACGGACACCCAACAGGAAATAATTATGCTGCTCTGGTCTGCTCCGTGCAGCATTGTTTGTTTGGACGCATACTGTCTGTGCAGCAGTGGTCTGATGCAGCAGGCTGGGCTGCAGGAAGATGAGCTGGAGCTGAATGCTGCTCTGATCAAGCCCGCAGACCGGCCGCCTCGCTCTGTCACATATGCTACTTTACAGAAAAAAGGAATAGTCTTCCTTTGTTCTGTAATCTATTGTATTGTGTTTGTCTCATTCAGCTCAGCTGATGTTGATCATTAGTTGGACACTTTCAGGGACGCCACGCAGCATGTCCACCTGCGCGTCCACGCTCAGCTACTTTTGCCGTAGGTTTAGCTGAGCGTGGACGCGCAGATGGACTTGGTGCGTGGCGCTCCTTAAAGTGTCCAACTAATGTTCAGCATCAGCTGAGCTGAATGAGACAAACATGATAAAACTGTGAGGATCAGAAATGCTGCTCTTATAAAAGTGGGTTATGATGGCTGAACCTGGCCTCCATTGGCTCCATGAAGTCTGAGAAAGGCCACCGATTCACCCCCCTAACACACACACACTGCCTTAATACATACCACACATTTCCACATTTTTGTCCTGATACAGAAAACATGGACGACATGGGCTTTATTGTATTTTATTTCTCTCATATTGTATATTTCTTTTTATTTGCGATTTTCTTCACTTCCTGATATTTACATGGCATAAGATGTCGTTAGTGTTTGTTTTTTTCTATGCAGCCTTAGTTTTAATCTGTTGCACTATTTTTTTCCCTGTGTTAAAACAATATATGAATGTGACGATACACTAATTTCTAATTGAATTATATTTTCAAGGAACTGCAAACAAAAAATAAGAAAAGCAATGAATTAATTTTTAATATAGGGGAAAATACTTTTTAGCAGTTATTGTACGATGCTGTATATATAGATAGATAGATTTTCATCTATCTATCTATCTATCTATCTATCTATCTATCTATCTATCTATCTATCTATCTATCTATCTATATATATATATATATATACATATATAATACAGTTTTTCCTAAATAAACGTATATATATAATATGAAAATATATATATCTATCTATATATATTATATACATAGATCTATATATATATATAGATCTATATAAATATATAATCACAGAAAAAGGAAATAGCCTACATGCCCTAATTTTAGAAGTTCATAAATTATTAATTTGATATTTTGTTTGAAAGTACTTAAAAAAAATAAAAATGCGTACACATGCATCATTATATATATATATATATATATATATATATATATATATATATATATATATATATATATATATATATATATATATATATATATATATATATATATATATATATATATATATATATTATATAGCTATATATGCGTGCATAATTTTTTTTTTTTACTGCGTCTCAAAATAATGGATGCAAGTCGAAATGTTTGTATTTTTTTTTTTTTTTACATGGCAATGATTACGGCGGATATTTTAGCTGTAAAAGGCCGTTTCCCTTGATTTCTATCATTAAATTAGAAGCAATCCATGTTGGGCAGTTGTAGATCCATGCAAACAGAAGCCGTCCTTCAACTGTTTACCCAGTCCTCAGTTGCGTTTAAGTTCTTACCGCATATTTACGCGCCTCCAGTGAAACGCAAACAAGGAAAAAAATGACCTAGTTTTTTATTTATGAAAATAGATGTATATTTTTTAAATAGCCTACTTAATTAATAAGTGAGGGATGATTGTGGTTGAATAAGGTGTTAGAAAAATAAATTAACTATCCTAAATGATAAAACTATTTTATAAAATCTAGAAATGCCGCCTATAGACCACTATATTTGTTTATTTCCAGGGTGTCTGTATATTTAGCCCAAACCAATTTGTTTGTTTTGTGTTGCGTAGGATGGCGCCGCTCTTTATCTTCCTGAAGTGAGTATTTAGTAAATTAGAGGTTTGAATGTCTGTAAGGTTTCTCTCGTGTTCAGGCAGCAGCCCTGCAGAGGACAAAACTTTTAAGGGATTTTCTACTGCGAGGCTCAAGCCATCAATCTTGTTGAGATAAACCATTCAGGATACGACTAACGGGCCAAATGAGCGTGGAAGCGTGTAAAACAACTATCTAACATCTTCTCGGCGCAGTGGCTGGCTGTGAATTCAGGTCACGGCTCGTGTCAGAGGAATAAATCACAGCTCGGTGCAGCAGGACGCGCAGAGCGGAGGTGCTTCTCCCTTTAGCTGCGCTTTAAACATTTTAGCATTTTACTGCTCTTCTTTCCAAAGCGCATTTGTTATTCTGGGCTGTTTATTTAAAAAAAGTCAGGGGGCAGTTTTCAGTGCGTCATGAGATTTTAAATCTTAGATTGTGTTTTTCTTTAACTAGTGTAATGATAGCGGGGACCTTTGGCTGCCTTACCGTCTCTCTTTTCCTGCGTTCATCCCGGGCCTCCGTTTTTTTCAGTTCGGCTTTAAACGCCTGCGTGTCTCCGTGCTGGCCGTCCTTGTCCAGGATGTCCATCAGGTAGGAGATGTAGCTGGTGGCCAGCCGCAGAGTCTTGATCTTGGACAGCTTGGTGTCTGCCGGTACGTTGGGGATGCACTCCCTGAGCTCCGCGAAGGCCGAGTTGATGCTTTGGGTCCGCCGCCTCTCCTTGCGATTTGCGGTGGGTCTCCGCTTAATGGTGCGGGGGTGCGCGTGGTGATGGTGGTGATGCATGCCGACCGTGGCTCCGTTCACCGAGATGGTCCCGGGACCCGGGAGGAGGTGGTTCCCCGGTCCGTAGTGGTGGTGATGGCGCGCGTCCAGGCCGCCTGAGGAGTCGCCCCCGCTGTTGGTGTGATACTCCGGGCTGTAGCCCGGCGCGAGGCTGTAGTCTGTGGGGGACATGTCCGCGTGGCTGATCAGCCAGCTCGTGAAGTACGGAGGGGCACCGCTGTCCTCGTGGCACCGTCCGGCCGCCGCGTGCAGCGAATAGTGGTGGCTGTCGTGGTGGTGCATGATCGGGTGGTGAGGGTAGCCCGAGACCAGACTCATAGTCCTGCTCACAGTGGCACACTCCGGCGCGAGAACACACACTCACTCACACACACTCACACACAAGCAGACAGACACTAAAAGGGGCCAAACAGATGCTGCAGGGTGGTGGGGGTGGGGGGGGGGGGGGGGGCGCCTTGGTTAAAATCCCTTCCGTGCAGATTTTTGCATCTTGGATAATATTCCCAGCAGGGAATCCCCGCTCAGTATTCCCGGGACACTCACCGGGCCTGCAGGCCGCTCTCTGCTGCTGGAACAACTTCCTTGTTTTGAACGTCGCACTTCTTCATCTTTTGGTCTTGGTGAAGTAAGACTGCAGAGACTCTCTCACAGGAAAACAGACCTGGGCTCTTCCCTCTTTCCTCTCCTGCAGCTCATCTCCGTCAGTCAGCTGTCAACTGTCAGCAGCAGAGCTGTGCGCTAAGAGGGAGCAGCCTGAGCCTATCCTGGGTCACCCCTCTGAGACTGACTGATGAAGAGTCCGCCTGGCTACAAGAGAGAGGGAGGGAGAGAGGGAGAGAAGGGGAGGGAGGGAGGGAGGGTCAGAGAAAGAGAGAGAGCCAGAGGGGGGCTGATTCCAGAGGCTCCATAAAGTTGGTTGTCCCCTGTTCGGGCCCCATGCATTTCCAGGCTCTGTATAACCCACTTGTCTTTAATGTTGATAGGCCTGCTAAAGAGGCCCGCTGGCACATGCGCAAACCCGCGCGCCCCTCAGCCATCCTTTTTACGCACGCGGCAAAATCTGATAGATCACCAATGAGGCGAGATGCAGTGATTGATAAACTGCAAGACAGTAAAAATGACTTTATTGAGACATGAAGTTCATGCAGCAGAAGCTTTGTTTATCTATTTAGTGTCTTTCTAGAAATTAAATATATTTAATGCGCGCGCAGACTGTTTTTTCTTTTTATTTCTTGCGATAATATTGGCGTGGATTTGAGATTATTATGTGAGATTACATTTTGTATTTTTTCAGTGATGCTGCGGAAAAGTGTCCAAAGTGATATTTGTCCATTTAAAGTTTTTTTTTAAATAGTTCCTATAAATTATGATCATATACGATTTTTTTTTATTTCTTCAAAGCAAAAAAGTAAAATCCAATTTATTCTTTATATTATATGTAATAGATTCTCCCCCTCATTACGTATTTAATTAAATTATTTAAAGTGCTGATTAAATAAAAGCTACAAAACGCCAATGTAATAGTAAATAGTATATCATTGGTTGTAATGCTAGTAACAATAATAATAAGTGATCATACTTATTATTATTATTATTAATGTTAGTATTATTATTATTATTATTATTATTATTGTTATTATTATTATTTTGTAGTAAATAGTAGTCTTGTCCGTCGCGCTCAGCCCTAAGGCTGTCCCTGTCTCTGTTTGGCTCACAGCGCGCATAGACATCAGAGTTTTTCCTTATTGGCGCTTTTTTTTTATGCTTTATTTTGATCTACGCGCTAAAAATCAAAGACTATACCCGACTTTTTTTATAATTACCACAGCATATATCCATTTTACGTCATTTTTAACAATTAAATAAACCAAGATGATCCATTCCCTTCTTATATAAACGCACCAGTGTTGATCTTGAAATTAACTAAATAAATTAAACCTTTCCACTCAGCCTAAAGCCAATTTATAAAACAAGTTTAGTTTACAAAAGTGCAGAAAACCATAACAAAGAAAACGCTCTTCCAGAGGACAGTAGAGCTGAGTTAGAAATAATCAAAAATTTTCACCAGGCTGGTGGTGAATCAGTACAAGTTCACTGGTATTGATTCAGTTGGTATGGAGGCCTGGAGGGTTTCAAGCTAACTTATGTTTTTTCCTTTTTCTGCAGAGCATTCAGCAGCCCTGCATATAATATGACCAGCTGACTCTAAAGCAGCTTTTTCTTTTATGCTGTTACTCAAAAACTTGTCAATGGAGATCAAAGGAATAATGACGTTTGGAAATAACGTTCTGGAAAAGTTTTTACTAAAGCAGCAAAAATACTAAAACCCAATACTAATAAAAATATTTTGATTTAAAAAAAACAAACATTCCATTTGACTACCAACCAAGCCTTTTAATTACAAGATTGGACAAGCAAAAATAAAAATAAAATGATAAATAAAAAGTAGAAAGAGAAATTAGCAGCCCCATTCAAAACATACTCCCTACTAAGCACACCAGGTCTAGTTCATAAAAGCACCTTACACAGGCCACACAAAACAGTTTCATTTAAAGGCAAATAAATATACATATACATATATATATATATATATATATATATATATATATATATATATATATATATATATATATATATATATATATATATATATATATATATATATATATATATATATATATATATATATATATATATATATATATATATATATATACAAATAAATATACATTACTCCATATACATAAATATGTATGTATGTATATAATTTAATTCAATTCAGCTTATTTATATAGTTTTTATATATATATATACATATTGTGTAGAGAGATTGCCTTTTATTAAAAAAAAAGATAAATTGCTAAATAAATTCACCTCATCAGCAGTAGTTGGTTCAGTCATTTTAATGTAGCAAAGAAGAAAACCTCATTCAAATTATGCACATGGTTTAGTTGTAGAAAAAAAGAAAAAATGTAATTAGAGTTTAAATGCACTTTCAGAACAGAGGATGCATGTACCTCAGGACTACAGTTGAATCATCTCTGCAGCTCTGGACGGAGGCCAGTTTATCAATTCCATAAATATCCTCTTCAATGCATGCTTTCATGATGTCTGTGGAGAACGCGTCATGGGTGCAGAACCTCCGTGGTTGTAACACACGGCTGAGAAAAAGCACACTGCACAATCTCTCAAAGTGTTGAGGGGGACTTCCTGCTCTATGAAAGCGTAGCTAGGTGAACAGTAGAAATGTTTAATTGCAGGCTTTCATAGGTCAGAGGAATGTTTGATCTACATTTTCTCCCCCATGTTCCATCTATATGGAGAAGGGGATCCACCTTCACCTCAGAGTTCCAGAGCCACATGTTTCCCTCAGAAACAAAAAGTCCTGGTAAATGCCAACCGTTCCTAAAGTTGACATTTAAACAGCTGGAGTTAGAAAGGCAGCTTTTTCTCCAGGCTCAGTTCAAGTTACTCAGCCAGGCTGCTGCAAATTTATCACACCGTATATGTACCTAAAGTTGGATCCATCTTTGGAAGCACTGAATTTGAAGGCGTTGGGTTCTCAGTGAATGACTGTGGACTGCAGTGCATTATTGTCACGATAAAATGGAACCAGGTGAAATTAAATGTGCAGGAAACTGGTGCTAAAAGTGAAACCACTGAAACAAAGTAAACTGAATGGCTGAATGGGAGAAATATTCATTCTAAGGTTGGTGAGTTACATCAAGGCCATCACAGGGCAGAGACGGATCAAAATGAAACTAGATTACAACAACAAGAAGAAACAAAATCTTACTAATGTTTATTTATTGGGTATTATGGGATTTATTAGCTTTGCTTTAAACATGAATAAAAATAAAAATTAGCAACATGAACTTTTAGATCCTTTCAGAAATTCACTTCCTTACTTAACAAAGAAAATATTTATTTGGTCCATATTTATATGAAGGTAAATATGTATCTAACAAACATTTTTAAGAAATGTTAATGCCGTTTTTACAGTGTGTAAAATTATGTCTGTGTTCCTCTGCTATTAGGATTCGAAAGCCTTTAATAGCAGCCTGAGTGTGAAAATATCTTTTTTGAGTCTGAGTGATGGAAGAATCAACCAAATCTTTGCATGTGGTGTTCCATCATAATACAGTTTAGATAAAAGGGAAAGCATTTTATCATAAGTAATGATTATTATGGGAACATTTAACTAGTATATTTATGATAAGGAAGGGTGCTTTAAAAACAGTTCAAAGGTATGCACCATAGCGGATGTACTGTGACCCAAACATGGCTGAACCTCATGTTTGCATGATTCATCAAGATTATAAAAGGTTTGTGGACCTGGATCCATTCCTCCTGATTTGTGTGGGAGCACGGCGGGAGGAAAGACTGGGGGTCGCAGGAATTCTCTGCGAAGAAGGCATATGATTTATATTTGTTTAAGTGTTGAATGGGGGCCGCGTTCTGTGTGGGTGTGTGTGTTGGCCTGCTCTTTGTAATCCATCTATGTGAATGGGAGCTGTTGCAGTAATTTAGATCAGTTTGTGTCTCCTGATAATGATACATAATTAGACTGTAGGTCAGTCGGTCAGACTCCCCATCTCTCTCTCTCTCTCTCTCTCTGTCTGAAACAAACACACTGAAACCTTTCCCCCTCGGTGCCCTTTGCTCTGATCTCAGCTACGAACTTCACAGAATAGCAGAGGAAAAAGGTATAGATGGACAGACAGACAGATTCAAATGAAACATTATTTGCAATCGATATGTAAATGTAGATAGAAAGCCAGTAAAACACGTGTACTCATCCGTGACAGATGAGGGAGTTAGAAGTAACAGACGTGGATGTCTTGGTGAGAGATTTTGCTTCTCAATGCAATAACTTTGGCTTAAAGGTATTGTGGAGGATTTTCGTAAATTTCTTAAAAGACCTGCCCTCTCCACTTTAAATAAAAAGCACATGGACAACCCTGTCCCCACTCCTGAAAGGGAACGCCTTTTAAACGTGTGTGAGAGCGTGCACGAGTCAATTTCTCCTCATGCACACTCTGTTTAAAAGTTGCTGTTCTCACAGCTCATGCAAGCTTACTGTGTCTGAACGTCCGCCCTAACCCCTAAATCCCTATATAGTGGACTATATAGTGAACTTTATAGTGAACTCAGTTAACTGACCGTTCAAACAGATGATCACTACTTTTTGTTCCCCGTTGGTCACGTAACTCCTTCTCCACCGCGCGGTGCCTGCGCGATCTTTGTTATTAGTCGCCGCTGTTGGGTAGCTACATCACATGGCGACAGCGGGCCGCAGTGTCAGCAAATTCCATAATGCTTTGTGAGGAAAGCTCTCTGTGCAAAGCATTCTGGGATATGTCTGCCTCTTCTGAGGCCTTTCTTTTCTTCTCATAAACTTCATAGACACTTTTTCTGTTACGAACCTCTGCCATTTTCAAAGAAAAGCGGTGAGAAAGGTGAGCTTCAATGACTGTCTGAAATCGTAGCTCACCACAAATATACGCCTGAAGGTTAGCAGAAAAAGATAGCTAACGGGATGAGCACGTAGGAAGGCCTTACGTAAACATATCACCAGAATGATTGACAGTTAGGAGGATCACTTATTTAGATGATCCACCCGGAAATAAAAGATCATACTCTATTGAGTATACTCTAGTGAAGGTTGAAATTAGTCTTACATAGTGATTAAAGTTCTTTCTCAGTTTGTCCTCTCTATTTATATATTTATCTATTGTGTGGAGCATTTGTTTTATCCAGTTGACCTATATTTAAAAAAAATGTTTCTTAGAAGAAAAAAGGTTTTCAATGTTTTTTTT